AATACTGAGTGGCTATTATTACTATATGGTTTAAAAACCACTGCATCTTTATTTCTGGTCAGCAACCTATTTCTTGCAAAGGCCAGTATGAGGCTTCTGAACACAAGTGACTTGTACAATTTACATTTACAATTCTGACGCTGGTACTTGATATCTCATAGCCAAAGCAATTTTTCCTCCAAAATAATGATTCCACTTGTCTGGTATAGTTTATGGCAGGGGTCTTCAAACTTGGCCCTTTTATGACTTGTGGACTTCAACTCCCAGAATTCAGCGTTGCTGGCTGAGGAATTCTGGGAGTTGAAGTCCACAAACCATAAAAGAGCCAAGTTTGAAGACCCCTGGTTTATGACTACTAACAGACATACAGGTAGTCCTCTGGTTATAACCACAATTGGAAGTTTCCATTGCTAAACAAGGCATTTTTGAGTGATCTTCACCTGATTTTGTGACCTTTTGTACCATGGTTGTTAAATAACTCACTGCAGTTGTTAAGCAAATCATGCAGAATCATAAGAGAATCTGGCTTCCTTTGTTAACTTTGCTTGTCAGATGCCAGCTGGGAAGGTCACAAATGGTGATCACATCACGCTGGGATGCTGCAACTATTGTCAACACATGCCAGTTGCCAAGCACCTGAATTGTGATTACGTGACCGTGAGGCTGCTGCGACAGTCATAAGTGTGAGGACCGCTTGTAATTTTTTCAGTGTGTTTGTAACTTTGAAACTAAGCAAAAGGCTGTAAGTCAAAGTCTATCTCTTGTATTCTCCCTGAATGCAAGCTGTACTTTTAAAAACTGCTAGCAAATGAACACAGGTCCTTGTGTCCAATTGTGTAAGAAACAGAGGACAATCCAAATGCATGTGGGCATACAGGCACATATTCACAAATAAAATTTTGTCAAAGGAATCAGCCTCTTTGCAAAAACACAATTTTTGAGTTCAGAATCAGAATCAGAATAGAGCTGGAAGGGACCTTGGAGGTCTTCTAGTCTAGCCCCCTGCTCAAGCAGGAGACCCTATACCATTTCAGACAAGTGGCTGTCCTGTCTCTTCTTGAAAACCTCCAGTGATAGAACACCTACAACTTCTGGAGGCAACTTCAGTTCCACTGGCTAATTGTCCTCACCGTTAGGAAGTTTCTCCTGAATTCCAAATTGCTTCTCTCCTTGATTACTTTCCAACCAGTGTTTCTTGTCCTGCCTTCTGGTGCTTTGGAAAATAAATTGATCCCCTCTTCTTTATGGCAGCCCCTTAAATACTGGAAGACTGCTATCATGTCACCCCCTAGTCCTTCTTTTCTCTAGACTAGGCAAACCTAAATCCAGCAATGGTTCTTCATATGTTTTAGTCTCCAGGCCCTTAATCATCTTAGCTGCTCTTCTTTGCACTTTTTCCAAAGTCTCAACATCTTTTTAGTAATGTGGTGACCAAAACTGTCATGGAGTCATGGAGATAGAGTTGTTTCTTCCCTTCACACCATGGCACAACCAGGGGAAAGATTCAAAATTGCAGCCTGGAAAAACTATTTACAGCCAGCCCTCCACTTATATGACGGGTTGTTTGGCGATTGTTCTAAGTTGCGACAGACCCTCTAAAAAGATATTTACAACCTAGATTACAAGTTCTGATGGCTGCTTTCTCCTCACAATCACATGATCACAATTTCAGGAGTTCGGCAACCGGATTACATCTATGCCACAAAAAAGGTCGTAAAATTGGATCCAGTCATGTAGTGGTCCATTTTACGTCACCACATGACTTACAACCACATGACTTATAATTACGAGACTCAATATGGCGTAAGTCAAGGACTACCTATTTCACGTAAATCAAGGCTTACCAATTTCTTGTTTAGAAACAAGAAATTAAGAAAAAAAAATCTCTTTTTTTTAAGCAAGACAGTAGATGTGGTTCAGGAAACGACCATTCCTGTATTGAAGGCTGCCTGCTTACCCTCACACTACAGGTCCCCAATATGATCCAGGTGAGATTAACAAGTCTGTCAATGACCATTTTCTGCTTAATTTAAAAGTGGTGTCTGACAAAGATTTTCTGGCATTTGAACCTTATCCTTCCCAAGAAAGGGGAAAAAAGGTAACAATGGGGAAGGGAGGAGGAAGAGAGAGGTGATTATTCCCTCATTGATTGATTGTCAGAAATGTTTTGTATTCACTGGGCATTGTAAAAAGCTAAGCTCTCAAATCAATTTCATAAGCCCCGCGTACAATTAAAGACCCAGGGCAAAGGGTTTTTCAGCCTAGCGCTTTAAAATAGACAGAATGGGGAATGCCTGTATATGTCAGAGGGCAGAGACTAGGGAGGGGGAGAAAAAAAACCCTTAAATATTGCACAGAAATTCAATTTTCTGAAATATTAAAGCACAGATAAATATTTGCAGCTTCTGTAGATTATAGGAAAATGCCCGTCGCCCGCTTCTGTCTGAGAGTCGGCGGTGTGCATGTCGCTGTTTAGCAAAATTATATTGTAAGTTTGGCAGGATCAGGCCAAGGAAAAGAAAAGCTGTTGGGAAAAAGTTATCCTTCTTTGTTCAACACCAGCAGGCAGGCAGGCAAGCTCTCTCTTTCTCTCCGTGACTGCATCACAGAAGCCCTGAAATTGAAATGGCTGCACCGGAAAAACTGCCGGCCAAAAAAATCAAGTTTTTAGCCTTCGTTTCACGGACGTTTTTTGAGCAAGGGTTGGTGACATCTCCAAAGGCCGAAGATGTAAAGATGTTTCAAAGCCCTTGAGAGGCTCCTTCCTATTCCTTTGGTTAGCAGAAGTAGATTTATACAGGTGTGCCTTAAATCTGCAGGATGTAAACCAGGAATTTTTAAACTTGGCCCTTTTATGGCTTGTGGACTTCAACTCCCAGAATTCCTCAGCCAGGCATGCTGGCTGAGGAATTCTGGGAGTTGAAGTCCACATGTCATAAAAGGGCCAAGTTTGAAGACCCCTGATGTAAACACAACACAGTTGGCCTAGCCCTAGGGTACAAGTTGGGTTGGAATGTGTGTGTGTTTGTGTGTGGTCTTTGGTGTGTCTCTTAAACCAGGGGGTCACCAACCTGTGGTCCGCGGCCCACTACCATTGCATGGGTGCTAGCAATGCCGTGAGCGTTGGGTGGGCGCTAGCATCGCCACGAGCGCACCCCCCACTCAAGCTAGCATCGCGGCATCATGCCAGCGCTATTGTCGCTGCAAGCACAACATCCCCACTCGCGCTAGCATTGTGTCGCCCAAGCATCGCACGGGCGCTCGTGATCCCCTTTGCATTGCGCGTGCAATCACGGCCCTGTGCGTGTGGCCCCATTCATGCATACGCGTGCTCGCACGCGTAAAGGCGCCTCCACCCCGCCACCCCAGGCCACCAAGGGTGGGGACCCCTGTTTTAAACATTTCCTATTTTCCCTAACATAGAAACTGGCATGGGTTAGGTTTCTTCCTGACTTTCCTCAGATCA